GAATCTTTTTTCCTGAAACTTTCAGAATCTCTTTACACAGAGGGGACACATGTTGATGTAGAAAAGACATGAACAAGTGGATTTTGCATAATAGGTGACCTTTAATTAAAATCACCAGAACTTTCTTTGGTTTTTTTTCCTGATAATTTTTCAAGAAATGTATAAATCAACATTGACTTTAAGCAGTCACCATCCACTGTAGGGAACAGACTGAAGACCTGATATGGAGCCAAACACATAATAAAAAGCTACACTATGTGTCTATAAAAAGAATCAAAGAGGTCCATAATAGGATCCAAATGAAGTGAGACAACCAGAGTGCCCTATAACTCAGACTGTAGCTACATACAGCAGAGATCCTTTCCACATAACCGTAAGTAGTGACAGCAGACTTCCAACCTCAAGCTCCTAACAACTCCTGCAGTTTGTGTTTTAGCTTTTTCAATCAAATATGTTTTAGTTGCAGAGACAGAAAAAGGATGTCCTCCAAATCTCTTACACTGATGCCCCTTTCACACCAAGGCTTTTCCCGTTCTAGCTTCGTGCTAGAGCTTTTCTGGTTCAGAACCGGTTCTTCGGTTCAGCTCCCGCTCTGTTCACACCGCTCAGAGCCCGACTGGTGCTGCGTCATTGCGTCATCGTTTGCGTCATGACGTAACCGTTTGCGTGCCTGCTTCATAAAGCCAAACCGCGCGGAACCCCCTCACATCGACAACAACAACAATGACCGATTGTATTGAAGCGCTACTCGTTTTGGTTTTGCTCCGTCGAAACGAAATGGAAGAAATGGGACGACTTTACAATCGTTACATTCAATAGTTCTTTACAATCATCATCATCAACGACGATTCCGTAGGAGAAAGAAGGTAAATATACGTCCTATTCGATGGCGTTATAGCTAGCTGTTGTTAGCCTCTGCATGCGCCAAGCTCAAAATACCCAGCTTTGCAGCATTAATTACTATGGTATAACATTAAAACTGATGCCCCTGTCCCCGCCTCAGACGTAAGCTTGACATATGCGGTGCTTGCTTTCTAGACCGACAACTTTTTGGTGCTTGAAACGAACCGGATTTCGGAGCTTAGAGGTGGCTCTGCTGCGGTGTGAACAGGAAAAAACGGTGCTTTTCAAGCTCCAGCTCCGAACCGGCCCTGGAACCGCGTTGATGTGAAAGGGGCATGAGTCCCTATCCCAGTAGCTCATCTGTGAGCAGGAAAATGAGGACATAAACAATACGTCTCTTCACCAACAATACTTTTTTTATTTCTAATTAATGAGTTGCAATATGTTGGGCAAATGAATAATCAAAAGCCTTTGGTGCGTTTCCACCCAGGACTTCCTTCAATATGTTTTACCAGCTTTAGTATCACGTAGCATTCAGTCCACTGGGATGTCATTTAACAACAAATTCCAGTAGCTTGACATTTCTTATTTTATATTAGTTACATAGCTTAGCTTTATCTGGTCCACTAACTGACGATGACTTACTGAGAATTTGGTGACAGAAACTGGTATTAGCTACATTTATAACCCATTCTGACTCGTTCACCAGTCAAATATGATAGTAGTATCTAGTCCAACCAATTGAGTGGCGAAGTCCCTCCCCTTCCGGTGGACCTCCATGGGACCTTATTTCGGAAAAATTATGTATTGAAGTCAATGGAGAGAGAAAGATTATCTTTCGATCCCGTTTGAATTGTGCCACGAATTACACATATGATGTTTGTCAATTTAAAAGATAATTTTGCAAGTCAAAAAAAATAAAATGTGTCGTAAAACTGTGAAGTAACACATTTGTTTGTGTGAAACGCTCAATTAACTACATCTCTGGTCAACAACACACGTCACCAAGATGGCCGTCACTACTGTCTTGTCAACACAACGATTGACTACCCTCACTATCACCACAAAGAAACACGTCCTGAAGAATGTCATGCAAAGCTGCCTGCCTGCCTTCCTTTGATTCTCTCTGAACTGCCTGGTCGTTTTAATGTTTAATGTCAACCATTTGTGCAGATAGCATGAAGTAGAGAAGATCGCCGATGCTAACGTTAGCGTTAGCATTTCTCCCCCGGGCTTAAATGGTGTATTATAGAATGATCACACCGGTGACAGTACTATTCAAAGGGTTCACGAAATATGACTACTACTCTTACTGTTTAACATGTTGGGTTACTTCATGTTAAGGCTAATAAAAATGACAAGGCTGTAATGCTAACTAACGTGCTAGCTACTAGCTAGGTAGCTAACTTGATCAAGCCACTCCTGGTCGTTTCATCAGACGGGAAGCAAAAGAACGAGCAAGACCCATTGCTGGTATAATAACAACCTGGTACTAAGCACACAGGCATCTTGTTAAAGTTATCTTATCTTAGCCAGCGCCATATAGATAGATTATATCTATATTGCGCTGATCTTAGGTATCTGAATGGTGGAGGAAAACAATTGTGACATCACTTACGCGACTCTGGGATTTGTAGTCTTTCTAGTTACGTATTTTTCATAGTCTTATATTTCAACAGTTTTACAACAAACTGTGACTTTTTTGACATGGAAATTATTTTTTAAGATTGACAAACATCATATGTGTAATTCATGGCACAATTCAAACGGGATCGAAAGATACGTTTTCTCTCCCCATTGACTTCAATGCATAATTTTTCCGAAATAAGGTCCCATTACCCGGAAGTAAGTGGGCGTGACTTCGCCACTCTATAGAAATGGCATCAGATTTTGTACAATTTCAAATATCAATATAGGCCTAAACAGTCATTTATTGGTCAGGCTGAAGAAGTATGAAATAATCCCTAATCAAAAGGCCCCATTAACCCTTTACACTCAGGATTTGTTAAACTTTTGTTTCCCCTTAGCCCTGTATGGATAATTAGCCTTACATTTTGAAAGCTACAATCAAAGTTACAGCCAACAGTTTGGTGACACACATTTAAAAAGGCTAGATAAAAGATATTGTGCTTTAGTTAACAATTTAATCAAATGTCATCGGCTATAAAGACATGAATGGTGAATGGATTTAATTGTTGTAATTAAATCGGAAACTCTGGTATGTGACTATTGTGCATTGATATGTCAATTCTGAAACGATATATCGTGCAGCCTTATCAAGAACAGTTATTTCTTATGAGCTGTGATTCTTTTAAGTGCTGTTGCCTTTATGAGTGAGAGCACCTTAAACTAGAAAGTGTGAGTTCAGTCACTTGCGACAACAAACCACAGAGTAACCGACTGACACTGAATCTTTCCTAGTTCAAGTGAAGGTTAGTTACACTAAACTTTGGCTTAACAGTAGTGTGGAAAATACAAAATAACAGCTTTCTCCATCAATAAAACATAACATACAAACGCACAATGCCACAGCTACAGTCATTAAGGATAGAAATGAGCAGCATATTCTCAGGAGGAAGGTTAATTCCCAAAGTGGGCCACCTCAGAGAAGCCTTTTCTAGACCAGACACCAGGAGAGTGCAGTCTCTCTTGTAACTGTCTTAATTAAAAACCAACTATTTTTTTCATTATTTAAGCCATGTTTTACAGGCAGATAAAACTACGGTTATGAGGAAGATCACTACAGGAATATGAAGGAACTGTTGACAGCTGGATGTAAGAAGGTTTACTCAGAAAAAAAAACCTCTTGATAATATGTTGTTGAGAATAAGTAAAATGCCGACTTAAAACAATTTAACAGAGGATAACCTTATTGATTTATTTGACTTTAAATAGAAGAGTTTTATGATGATAATGAGGCTTCAACAGAAAAAAACCTTTGTAACGCAGTAGTGTCTTTTGTTCCCCTGTGACTGGAAGCAAAATCAAACCATAGCCAAAATAACACCTGCAAAAAACATAAAGAGACAAGCATGAAGGCAAATGTACACACAAATCCACAGAGCTACATGTAGGTAAATAGTCACCAGGAAGTGGAGACATTTCCCTGCCTCAGTAAGTGGCGTTTAACTTGTCTTCCTTATTAGCTTTTCATCAACCAGGCAGTCAAAGAGCTTTTACTAAAGCTTTAGAGGTATACAAAAAGGAAGCAGACTGCAACACAAGCTCCAACACAACCAATAGCTAGGGAAATGTTTCCAAACGTTTCCTGTGTTTTTTCCTTCTTAGACCGAGATGGTAGTTTTATAGAAACAAAATTATGTTAGTGACTTTCATGTGATAAAGAAAAGGAGATGTATAGTGGACCAACAATGACACAATTTGTTGACTAATTAGTTAAATGAACAGATCTGTAACACAGAGTCTCTCCATCAATAATTATGCAAAAGCAGCACTTCAAATCTTGTGTTTACCAGAGATGTGCTCGTGTTCCTGGAAGTAAGTTATTCAGCAAGAAAAAAGCATTTAAATGGACTCAGGAAATATTTAACGACAAAAATGAACACAACTCAATAAGTCTTAGTGTGTGAAAGTGTGAGTATATATGGAAAACATTTAGAAAATCAAATATCTCAATATTTTGATAACATCATTTAATTAAGGTTGACTGTTGTTGCTATTAACACACTGAGATTTGAATCAATTATCATCATTAATGTGGATATGTACTACTGACTAAGTGTGTAAAGGAAAGTGATAGCTCAGATAGAAACTGTCAAGAAATTGAAACACCTTATTTGAATCTATTTATTTTTTTAAACTAAGGAAAAAAAGAAAAAACTTGTGCTATAATGCAATTACTCAAATCTATCTAATGTATTTCTATATATGATTCCAGGTTGAATAGCTTCTCTTCCACGACAAGCTACTAGACCGGAAACGCATTTGAATCTCGATTTGCATATCACATTACACACAAATCCTGTGGTGACTACAGTAATCTGGTTTGTGTAATTGTGGGTGCACAGTTTTACATGCAAAACCTTTACAATGCAATTCAAATCAATAGCTCAGGCATGATCTGCTCTGTGTGTGTGTGTGTATATAAAAGAGGTAGAGATGGAGTGTGTGAAACCCTTTAAATCATGCAGGCTTACCCAGCAGAAGCAGCTTCAGCTCCCTCCTCGCATCCCTCTTGTCTCGCCGGAGTTGTTTCTCGATCTCAGCGTTGATTCGTTTGGACTCCTTCGCCTCTTCACTCAGGCAACAAGCCATCATGGAGTCTAAAGTCATCACCGCATGAGCTGAAAAGCCCGTCTGACAAGGGGCGCCGGGTTACACCTAACAGCAAATATCAAAAATATGTCCGACACTCAACAAGTATTATCCAAAACGCTGATAATGGAGCTTGCTGCAGAATCCGGCCTTCCTTTCTTCAGGGTAAAAACTGCTGTCAAGTGTCAAAATATTTTTGACAGCTTAGTCAAAGTCTCGTGCCAATCCTCAGGTTACAGGAGCTGACAGCTGATCACAGAAAATATGCAATGCAACATGTCTGCAAACATATCAGATGGGTCTTCACAGGTGTGAAAAATACTTGATGCACTTTCCCAAAAAAACAAACAGCTGGATTTAGTTTGGGAAAGTAGCTCGTAAGCTAAGGACCAAGCTAACAAGTTGATTAATTTTCAACGTACAAATACTTTTATAATCCTTAGCCAGCAAATCTAACACTCATCCAAAATATATAAGCAGTATTTTATTTCAAAACTACAGACTTCGGTCCCAGAGACAGTGGGACACTACAGGCTGCCACATTTGTACAATCCCTCCGCTGGTCGCCCGGCCGAGTAGAAGGCTAGCCGCCCCGAAACCATCACTGTACGCCCGCGTAGCGACAATGAGCGCACCGTAAAACTGTCCATCTACGGAACACACAGAAACTATATCCCTGTTGTCTCTAGCACTCGACGATTGATAGCTATTGTGTCAATCCAGCTGAAGAACAATGCTTTAGTATCACGTTCAGAGCAGTTATCCTGTTGCACCCAGTGACCAGTGGAAGCTAAATGGGCAGGCTAATTGTTAGCTAGCTAGGTTAGCTTAGCTAGCCATCCCTGGAATTGCAGCCAACTGGCGAAAAACCAGAAAGCTCAGCCTGACAGAAGACCTTCATGTATCAAGATAGGGAAAAACGTCGCCTTCAAAATGCTCCAACACTGACAGTCAGATGTTCCCTTGTAGTCCGTACATTTTTTTTTATCGCTCCTGGTATTTTTTTTTTTCCTGGTGGTGCTGATTGCTCTTCGTCTCCCACTCCTCAGCCCCGGTGTGGTGTAGTTGCCTGCTGCTGACGTCGCTTGGGATATAAGTGATTGACAAGGGTGAGAGCCAATGAGAACAGCGTGTGTTGGCGTTTAAGGCGGGACTTTGCTGCATGGTTAACTTCCCAAGTTTGCTTGAGAGGAAGTCTTCCTTTCGGAGGCGTGTCGGCGAAAGCAACTGACATTAGGCTGCACGGGCAACGCCCATCTGTCAGAGACATCCAGGGGAGAGGGGCACAGCAGTTTATTCATGGTAACATCCACATTCACAAGAAGAAATGCACTGACTCAGAAACACATTTGATCCATAAAGAACGGCTCACATTTCTGCACAGCCCTCATCTTAAAAATATAATAGTTGATAGATACTTTATTGATCCAAACTGGGAAATTGTTTTGTTACAGCAGCAGTGTGTTACATTTAAAAGGTGGGATAAAGAATAACCATAATACAATAAAAAAAAACATAAACAGCCAATATAACCACATATACAGTAGAAAATACATATTTCATAAATAATATAAAATATTCTGGATAAATTCAAATGTTCTATAAATTACATTACACGTCACTTGTTAGACGCTTTTATCCAAAGCGACTTACATACTCAATACTGTGGGCAATCCCCACAGGAACAATTTGGGGTGAAGTGTCTTGCCCAGGGACACAACGACATGCTGACTGCAGTGGGGTTTGAACCTGTGACGCCCTGATCCGAACACCAACGCACAACCCACTGCACCACACACCTCCATACATAAATACATACCTAAATACATAAATATAGACGTACAGAAGCAGAAATATACTGCAGTTTGACATATACGTATTACATATCCATTGTGATAAGTTTTTCTTTTTTGTTTTGTTTCTTTTGTATATTTATATTTGGCGTAAACACTTGTTTTTATTCTCTTTAATTTAAAGTGGACCTATCATGCTATATTGGAAACATATATTGTAGGGCCATACCTAAAGAAAACATGTCCGTGAAGTTTTTTGCTTAAAATACCAAACAGTTCACCCATTGTAGCCATGCCTCATACTGCTCAAACCCCTATTTTGCAGCCCTGTTAGAGAAACGCGGATTTTGGGTCCTTAGCTTTAAAAAAAAAAAAAGAGGAGGCGGAGCTAATGCCTGATCAGAATTCTACCGGAGATAAAGTTAAATTCTGCTGTGATAAAACGCCATCCTGTTCTAAACCACATCAAGGATTATTTATTGAAACAGTATGGAGCTCAAATGCTTTTTCTCTTGCGGGTTTACCAGGGGCGTTTCCTAGACCTGGAAACATTCGGGGCTTAGCCCACAGTTCATTAAGGTACATTAAGGTACTGGGCGCTACAGTGGAAATTTCTACTGCAACACTCCCCACACGCACAAACACAGTACACCTGCGACGATAAAGGCACGATAATCAGCTCACAGCATATAGGTGTAAGCAGGTGTAAAGTGCTATTTTTTTACAAGTGGGGGGAGGACCTAACCTCCTCTAGGGGGGTCCTCACCGAATTTTTTTTTTTAAATATTGAAGTTAAAAGCATCAATCGGGTGCACTTTGAGAGCAAAATAAAGAGATATGGATACATATTTCAACAACCATATGAAACAGAACTGTAAACAGATTTTCTTTTTCTTTATGGATATTTTACAAATCACTCCCCTGTGACTGTGTAATGTAAGGTAGCTTCTACCTGTCGAACACTGACAGTAATTTCTTTGAAATCACCAGGTAACACTAAAAAACATAACATTTAGATTGTATGACAAAGTGTTAATTTAAAGGGGACCTATCATGCAAAATGCACTTTTGTGCGTCTTTTATACATGAATATGTGTCCCCGGTGTTCCAGGGAACTCACCAAGTGTCAGAAAACACAACCCTCTCTATTTTCCTCCATACCCAAATCTCTAAAAAAAAGGGGCTGCAACGGCCACGGCCATTGCCGTTCGAAAGCGCGGGAGAAGCTGTAGTACATATGCCAGGCCTGTAGATGGTGCTGTTCTCACAGAATCTGCCCTTGCAAAAAACAGAGCTAAAAAATGTCAAATTGAACAAAATGAGGCATGGCTAAAATGCATGATCTGTTTGGTATTTTGAAAAAAAAAAAGTATAAATATGCCTTATATAGGTATGGTCCTACACTATATTATTCAAATATAGCATGATAGGTCCACTTTAATATCTCTGGCTAGCTATAGCTACTTGCTAACGGTTTAGCTTACCCCCGTGATTCAAAGTAACGTCAACAACGGAGCTGTAATTTATGCTTTGCTTACATGTTCGCATACCTTGGAAGTTTACTGACATTTACATATCTTGTTTACCTGGCGCAAGTGGTGGCTCTGGGGTTGTTGTGTGAGCCACCACTTGAGAATTGTCGTCTTTTTTAAGAAAAAATGTTCTTATGTCCATCTTCAAAAACTCAGAGTCCGAGGCCGTTTCTCAATGTTGAGTATACCTGCTGCAGAGCCACTATTTCAAGTATACTACGTCATCGAGTGGCGCCGAATGCTGGGCATTTAACATGCATTTAAACAGTCCTTTGGCGCTACTCGATGATGTAGTATACTTGAAATAGTGGCTCTGCAGCAGGTTTACTCGACATTGAGAAACGGCCCGACTGACAGTTTAAACATTGTCACAGGATAGGTACCTGTCAGCCAATAAGACACGGTTATTTCCATGCAACTCTCTGGTGATTGGTCTGGTGTCTTGCCTCTGTTGCATTCACTGAACACAGGAAATTACAATCCTGCCGTCCTCTCTAGTGTCATGATGAGGTTCAGGTAAAGCACGGTTAATGTATTATATTATTGAGGGAGAATTGTCCGGGGCTTGTGGGTTTACCACAAGGTGAGTTCCTTTTTGTATTTCCTGCTTTTTAAACACGTGCTCTCCAGTAAAGGTTAGCTCTGAGTGTTAGCGAGGCTTGCTAATGTAAACAAAGACGAGATTACGTCCAAAATACGTCAGGCATTGTTTCTGATAGCAACATTCTGTGGGTCCGCCGCCGATTTGACGTCATATCGGCAGCAAATCTGTATCCACTCGTTGTACCCCCGTTTTTAAAAGATTTGGGTACGGAGAAAAAGAGAAAGGGTTTTATTTTCTGACGCTGCGTGAGTTCCCCGACACACCGGGGACACATATTTATGTATAAAAGACATCAAAAAGTGCATTTTGCATGATAGGTCCCCTTTAATTGTATTTTAAAAATATTTTCTTTTTATAATTGTTACATTTTTGACCTTCTCTTACAACTTATTTCCTTATGTTGTTTATGTTTGCGCCACCTTACACCAACGCAATTCCTTGTAGTGTGAAGGTACCTGTTGATTCTTATTCTGATTATGCAACCATGAGAAACCTTAAGAATAGGAAGTAAATTAAGGGACAAACATTTATACAGTGTTTTTAAATTTGCGGCAACTTTTTTTCGTGTAAACCTTCAATGGGTTATTATCAAAGTGTTATATAAATTAAATGTATGATTTTTATTGGATAAAGATATGAGAAAAATAAATAAATGTGGGTAAACTGGAACAAAAAAAAGACAAAAACATCAATTACAAAAAATATTTTAAAACAAACTTCTTTTTTTCCAGATGTTCATAAGAACCTCTAAAGCATTTGCTTAGGGGTGTTTTCCCTATAGAACACTTGATCTATAGGGCAGAACGTATTTTGACCCCTAAGTACCACATGTATACAAAGTCTGGCCTGTTTTTAAGAAGGAACTTAATGAATATGTTGAATGCAGGACTCTTTAAATATTCAAATCTTTGAGGACTGCACTATTATACCTGCAGTATTGAAGTTAATGCATTGCTCAGACTTTTGAATGAAAGGCCTTGTTGTCCTTGTTTTTATTTTCCTCTTCGTATAGACACCTTGGCCTTGTGTCCTTTACATTTCATTTTGTGTGTCCTATTATAAAATAGTATCTTTAATAAAGTGTTTAATCCTTACACTGTGAGCTTATCCTGACTGCTAGCCTGAAGCTGTTGATCTTCACTGTCACCTTTGAGTTTCACAAGATTATTCAAGACATATCTAATCATCTGTCTGCAAACAGAGAACTGTACATCTACTGAAGTACTTAAGGAGCCTACTATTCAGAAATACTTGTTCTTAACTTTAGAATTGACATGTTGTGTATAATATGCTGCTCAGGAGGTTTTTCAGCTTGTCCAGATACAGAGCAGTGTGGAAGAAATGTTCAGACGCTTTCTTTGATCCCATTTCATTTGTATTGCCAGTGGAAGGACAATCCATTGACAATTTTTACAACGGCAACTTAGTTTTTCTAAGATTAAAAGATGATGGTGTGGACTCAAGACAGATTTACATCTTACACAAATCTAAGTGACAATAAAACAGTATATCTGAATAAAGTAGCAGAAAATGTAAATAATCAAGTAAATTATTGGTACTTTATTTCATTTATTGGGCTTCTATCAACCACTCCAGTAAACCTTTTTTTTATTTAGAAAGGTTTTAAAAATGTGAATGCAGCCGTAAAAATGCTTGTTTCAAATTGTACTTTCTATATATGAACTAAGTCAACTTCGCTTCTACGTCAGGTAATGACTTGTTATGTAATCCTTTTGATATTCCAGTTGTATCTGTTGACAAAAGTAAGGACAACATGTTTTCCACTGTTGTAACCCATGTTGCCATTCTGTATTTAAATCTTAAAGGCTGCCAGACAATACTGCAGAGTCAGGTGACATCTTGTGGACGTGAGATGTAGTTGCAAGAGGTGGGTTCAGTAAGACTTATTTAATTTAAAGTCCTCAAAAGTCCTGCTTAAAAGAAGACTATAAGTACTCCCTGTATTTGATTAGATGTTGTATATTAACCTGAATCTGCGACGTAACCAAAGCTATACAAAGTATAATATCAACCTCTGAGATGTAGTGGAGTGTAAGTGCAAAGTGGCAGTGAAAAAATTGATATACTCAAGTAAAGTACAAGTACCTTTCATTTGTATGGTACTGCCGTAAATGTACTTAGGTACTTTCCACCACTGGACATAATGGTATCTAAAGAATTGTATTTAAAGAGGTCTCAAGCCTTATAAAGGATGGGAACAACTTAGTATTATGAACAATCAAATGGTATTTACTTCAGGTAGAAATACAACTT